TGGCTGTGGGGTGCTGTGGCACTCCTGCTGCTGCCTGTGGGGTGCTGTGGCAGTCCTGCTGCTGCCTGTGGGGTGCTGTGGCAGTCCTGCTGCTGCCTGTGGGGTGCTGTGGCACTCCTGCTCACCATCCCTTCCTCCATCCATCCTCCCCAGAGCCGTGAGGAGCTGTTCCTGAGAGCCCTGTGCCTGTGCCACACGGTGCAGATCAAGGAGGCAGACCAGCTGGATGGACCCACAGCACACCCMGAGCGTAAATACACCTACATCTCCTCCTCCCCAGACGAGATCGCCTTGGTCAAAGGCGCTGAGAAGTAAGAATGGGAAGGTGTTGGTTTATTAATTCCCTCTCTCTGGTGGGAGGAGGGAGGTGAGGGGGATCTGACAGTGATAGACCCCTCTCCACAGTCCCTCTGGGAAGCAGGTTGTGCTGGCAGTGCTGAACCTGACCTGCACCCTGTGAGCCTCATCTGTGGGTTCAGATGAGCTCTGTGTTAAAGGGTTTTCTGTAAAGGATCTGCCCTGAGCACTCCCTGGGAGGCTGTGCTTTGCACTCACTGAGAGCAGCCCCGAGCTCTGCAGTGCCCAGCTGGGGCAGGGGTGTCTTTGCTGGAGCCCACATGGCCTTGTGCTCTAATCCCTACAAACAGAGACGGTTCCCATGTGCTTAAAATAATGGGGTGGATACWGCTGTCAGCCCCACATCAGAATCCWGCCAGAGATGCTCAAGGCTGGGCTGGAGGGGGCTGTGACAGCCTGGGCTAGTGAAGGACATGCTGCCCAAAGCAGGGGTTTGGCACTGGGTGATCTGTAAGATGCCATCCATTCAGTGATTCTCTGCTGCTGGCAGCCCCAGGGTGCAGGTGGAGGCTGTTCCAGCWGTGTGGGCTCACTCATGGTTTGTAAATGTGCCAGGGTCCTGGTGGGCTGTGTCCACAGTGCCTGTGTGCCCCAGTGCCCGAGCTCTCCAGTGATGGGAGCAGTGCCAGAACATCACAGCAGGCTCTGCATGGAGAGAGCAAACACCAGCCCTGCTCCTCAGCTCGGCCTCACTGCCTTCTCTGCCCTCCCCTGCAGTGCAGAGGGCGAAAYGAGAACATTGTGATGTGTCAAATGTGCCAATGGGTGTTTTCAATGTTGTTCTGTCCTTTTGTTTATTGACAGGTATGGTTTCACTTTTCTAGGACTTGAAAACGATTTCATGAAAATACGAAACCAAAAGAATGAAACTGAGATGTAAGTKCTGCTGAGGGACAGGGCTGCCCTGCTTCTTGAACCAGTTTGGTCAGCCTGGCAAGGTCAGAGCTGTTTCTTGAGGGCTGTCAGGCCGTGCTGACCTGCCCCACAACTCCTGTCCCCTTCACAAAGCAYGGCACATCAAGGTGTAGGCTGAAAGGCTCACTTGCAAAAATCCACGGGTGGTTTACTGGTGTCTAAATTCAGCTCCCTGAAAAGCCTGCAGCCCTTTGTGTGTGTCCTTTATCTGTGCCAGGCTGTGCAGGTGGCTCCTGGCATTCACGGGGTGCCTGCTGACCTCTGGGCAGTGGCTGGGGCTCACAGCAGGACCCTGTGAGCCTAAACTTGTGATGTGGCTCCATTCACTGGAACCCTTTTCCTCTCAAGAGCTGAAAATAGTTAGATTTTTACCCTGTGCTCACAGCGTGGTGGACACCTGACAGTCAGTGACCTATTCCCAGCTCTCCCCAGAAATTTGCCATCACAAGCAAGTTTCACTTCTTCCATCCCTTCKGAAGAAACTTATTTAGATGAGAGGCTCAGTGTCCCTGCTTGTGGCACGTGGTGGCCCATTCCCTGCTGAGCCTTGCCCAGCCTGGGGGTTTGGTGCACTGGTGGGAACTCAACACCCTCTGTCCCGTGCTCAGAGCACCCGTGGAAAGCTGGAATTTGGGGTTTTTCCTCTCCTTTCTTGTGCAGTAGCTGTAAAAAGTACTTTCCGTAGTTGGTGATGCCACTTGTAGGGTGYTCCTGCAGCTCATTGTTAGTGATTTTGTCTCAGATAGTTATTTTCCTATTTTTCATTTACTGAGCCAAAGCTTTTTTCTCTTTTTTAAAGGTACCAACTTCTGCACGTGCTGAACTTTGACCCCGTGCGGCGCCGCATGAGCGTCATTGTGAGGAGCAGTGCAGGTATGGGCACAGTGTGGGTGTGGGCTCATACCCAGGGCACAGCTGGGAAAAACCTCCTCATTCTGGGCTTGCTAGGCTGGCCTGACTAAGCTCTGTACTCAGCCTGGCTGCCGTAGGTTTATTTTCCTTCGTGGCAGCTGTTTGGGACCAACAGCAGATCAGGGGATGAGAGCAGTGAGAGCTCCCTGCCTGCCCTGTTCCAGGCTGGAGCAAACACCAGGGAAGACATGTGAGAAGGTCCCCTGGGTGGGATGGGGTTTCATGGGAATAACAGACAAAAATTGAGAGGTCACCATCCTTCTCAAGTGTCAGCCCTGTGAGGTTTGGGTTTTACCCTCCCTGGAAAGGATTCCACGGCTTACAAATAGGAAATAGTGTCCAGCCTGATGCAACAAACTTGCTCAGAGGCAGGTGGGGACACCCCAAGTCTCAGCTGGGCCTGACAAAGGTTTTTTCACAGGCTGGTGAAAGGCCATTTTTGGTAGGCAGTTGGATTTCTAGCAGTTCGTTCTTTAGTCCTGCCAGATTTCCTCCCTCTGCATCCCTTGCTTGCTTTTGACGTTGTTAAGTCTTTCTACAGCTTGTAAGTGCTTTAAACTATTTATAATTTGCTTTTAGGAAAGCTGCTTCTCTTCTGTAAAGGAGCAGACTCCTCTATTTTTCCACGGGTGCAGCAAGAAGAAATCCAACCAACGAAGGTCCATGTGGACCGCAATGCTATGGTGAGCACACAGATGGAATTTGGCTGGCTCCTGGGGTCAGGAAAGCCTTCTTCCAAAAATAGGGATGTGACCTTGCTTTGGAGGGAAGTGTCAAAAATGKGACTGTCACTTCACATTGTTTTGATGCCAGGCTTCTTTCCTTTTCTGTTTTGTTGGCTTCCACCTTTATTTGATATACTTCTATGGTTTCCATCACAGTTAGAGCCAAGCATCTCCCAGGCCAGTTAAAAATAGCAGTAACACCAGCAGCCTGGTCCCAGTTGTGGTGGCACTGGTCCCTGCTCTCCCTGCTGGCTGCACTCTCAGCCCTGGGCCTTCTYTCAGTTTCTTTTTGCCATATTTTCTGCACATAATGAGCAGAACYGTGATTGCTCTGACAGGAAGAAGTTATTGTATAAACACAGAGAAATTTGTTATTTTGACAAAAGCCAACAAATTGTCCTTGCCCTCAGGGTCAGTACTGCCAGAAGCACTGATGGCAGACACTAACACAATGAGTGAGGGGCTGTAAAAGTCTGGGCTGGGGACATTTATCCATTTTATTTTCTTTCGTTCCTGCTGCCAGGATGGCTATCGCACGCTCTGCGTGGCCTTCAAAGAACTGACTCAGAAGGAGTATGACAAAATWGACAGACAGCTCAACGAAGCCAAGATGGCTCTGCAGGACAGGGAGGAGAAGATGGCCAAGGTTTTTGATGACACAGAAGCAAACATGCACCTGATTGGGGCTACTGCTGTGGAAGACAGGTAAAGAGGTGACAGCAGCACTGTGATTTCTCTGTGATGTTGTTTTGGTGGAGCTGAGCAGCCAGGCAGATGCTGGCAGTGTCCAGGGCAATTAATTACACCATGGCACAACCCATTTCACAGTGCCCTTGTTGCTTAAATTGGCTGCTGTAGTAGGAATTGGGATTTATTAATGAAACTACAGAAATACTTGCACTTCTGGAGAGTGAATTAAGCACGCAGCATTAATTTGCACATCAAAACAAATTCAATTCCACATTCAGTTATAGTAACTGCAAGTGTAAATTAAACCCTTGCTGTGAGGCCTGGGAGTCAAGAGCATAAAGCAGCGAGTTCTCTTTTTGCCTGCAAACAAAAATTGGGTGTTGGTGTCTTGTGATCCATATTTCTATGGCAGTGGTTTCCCCAACATGTGAGAAGTCACTGAACTTCTCTTGAGCTGCTATTTATTTTATTTAACCTGCAGAGTCAGGGTTATTTGGGTGAGCCCCACATGTGAGAAATCACTGAACTTCTCTTGAGCTGCAATTTCCACCTGCAGATTCAGGGTTTTGTGGGTGAGGTGATGGCCAACCTGAGAAGTGAATTTGCCTTCTGCTTGCAGGCTGCAGGAGCAGTTGGCAGAGACCATCGAAGCCCTGCACGCTGCTGGCATGAAGGTTTGGGTGCTGACAGGAGACAAGATGGAAACTGCCAAATCCACCTGCTACGCCTGCAGGCTGTTCCAGACCAGCACGGAGCTGCTGGAGCTGACGGCGAGGACGGTGGGCGACAGCGACAGGAAGGAGGATCGGCTCCATGAGCTGCTGCTGGAGTACCACAAAAAGCTGATTCAGGATGTTCCCAAGAACAGGGGAGGCCTGAAGAGGTGTGTGAGCCAGAGGGACCCGGCTGAGTGCGTTTGAGATGCAAATTGGGGAGAGAAATGGGGCTGTGCTGTGGCCCTGGGGACTGCAGACACTGCCACCGGTTCCTTTGCTCATCAGCTCTAGTATTGCTCTGCTTTGAACTTAACTGCACTGTTCCTTTAGTCAAGGGCATGTGATAAGTCCAAGCTTTTCAAAATTGCTAAGCCCCAAAAAATGGATGGGAAGATTAACCCAAAACCAATTTTCTTTTCACTAAGACAATACAAGCAGCTGGGTTGACTTCTTATCCTGGTGATGTTTAAATTTGTTCCTTGTTGTGCCCCAGGAGCTGGACACTGAGTCAAGAATATGGGCTGATCATAGATGGCTCCACGCTGTCGCTGATTCTCAACCCTTCTCAGGACTCTGGCTCTAGCAATTACAAAAGCATTTTTCTCCAAATCTGCTTGAAGTGCACTGCGGTGCTGTGCTGCCGGATGGCTCCTCTGCAGAAAGCACAGGTATTTATTTACCTCTCCCTGGCTGAAGGGTGGCACTGGGTGATGTGACACACGCTGAATTCATCAGCTGGGACTTGACCTGATCATCTTCATCAACCAGGGCTTCTCCAGGCTGTGTGTGAGCCTTGTCTGAGCTTCAGAGCGTGATGAAARCACACTGTTCTTTCAAATCTGAATGCAAACCCTTTGTTTAACATGCTGGCAAGAAGCCATAAACCCAGGCCAATTAGAAATAAACAAAACCTCCCAGTTTGTTCTTTTTTTTCCTTTCCGAACTTGTCAAGTGGAGTCTGTGACTTCCTCACTCCAGCAGATGATGTCCCAGCCTGATCAGTGATGCATTTCTGCACCCTGAGATGCGTGAGARAAGGCACCTTTGGCAGGGCAGGGTCTGGCAGAAGGGAAGGATGGGATGTTTTTGTTTTTTATTACTGTCCTTCAGCCCTGCACAGCTGGATTGGGCTTTTGCTCTGCTTGTGACTGCAGARCAAGTAGCAAGGGCTTTTATTAACCTGAACTCTCCAGGTATTGTATTGCTGCTATATTGTAAAAGCCTGATWGCTCATCCTGGGGGGAGCCATGGGAAGGTCTCTGGAGGCTTTTTAACTGAATTTTGGGTTCTGCTGTCCTTTTATTAAATCTTTCAGATTGTGCGAATGGTGAAGAACACAAAAGGCAGCCCGATAACCCTGTCCATAGGGGATGGTGCAAATGATGTCAGTATGATTTTGGAAGCACATGTTGGGATAGGTAAGACTCCCTGAAGCTCCCCTCTCACCCGAGACCCATCTGCTCTGGTGGGGCTCACTGCTGAGGTGCAGTCCGTGTTTCCAATTGCACATGGCTGAGCCAATCCCACTGGAAATGTGGAAAATGTGCTGTTGCTTTCTGTGGAGCTGGGGTTTAACTCCAGGTATGAGCTTGAGATGACAGAATCAGAGAATAGTTTGGTTTGGAAGGGGCCTTTTGAAGGGTCCAGCCCCTGTAATGAGCACAGAGATCTTCAGCTACAGCACGTTCCTCAGAGCCCTGTCCAGCCTGACCTTGGGTGTYCCCAGGAGTGGGGCATCCACAGCCTCTCTGAGCACCCTGTGCCCATTTCACATCATCACTGTGAAAGGCAGAGAGATGAGATCAGCACACRCTGCTCCCCTGTGACAGTCCCGTTCTCTCTGTCACTGATACACTGCAGATTATGTTCAAAAACTGTCACCAAATTGGTGCTGGTGGGGATTTCTTGGGACTCACACAAAAGGGCATGAGCAGTGAGTGATCAGGGGCAGTTGTTCTAAGGGCAGAGTGTCAGACCTCAGTGCTCACAGGAGCTCAGCACAGGGGCCCTGTTTGTGTTTTTTTGGGGACTGTCTGCACTGTCTGCAGGGCTGCCATCAGCCTGGGAGCTCCTCCTGTCTGCACATTGGTGTCAGAAATACGGGAGACTTCTATAATATCACTAAAGGAGGGTCAGTGGAAGAGAAAGGGCACGTTCTTTGTTTTTGGAGATGCTGTGGTGCCCTCTAATGAGGGGAATCCAGAGCAGTTCATTTGGTTTTAGATGGGGATGTCTCAGGAGGCTGAGCAGCTGCAGTGGAATAGCCAAGCTGTGTGAGGTGAAGGCCAGCCCACAGGGAACCAATTCCTCACCTTTCAGCAGGTTTGCTTAGGTACCCTTCACCACACTCTTACAGGAAATCACAGAGCAGCCTAAATATAGCTGAAAAACTCCAGAGGCAGGTCTGAGTGTTGTGGAGCCAAAACTGCACTGAGTGTRGGAGTGTTTGCTCTCCTGGGGCACYCAGAKGSAAACACAGCCTTTGTCATGCCTTGAGACACTGAGTGATGTCAGCAAAGCCCTGGGCAGTGTCCAGATTCCATCCCCTCAGGATTAACCCCTTGCTGTGTTCTGTCTGCAGGTATCAAAGGCAAAGAAGGACGTCAGGCCTCCAGAAACAGCGACTATGCTGTGCCAAAGTTTAAACATTTAAGAAAACTGCTACTAGCACATGGGCATTTGTATTATGTGAGAATAGCACACCTTGTACAGTATTTCTTCTATAAGGTAAGGGGCAGTGTGCAGCTGATTTCTTTGTTTATACTGTGCATTTCTTAGGCAATAGAATAAATAATAAATAGGAAAAAAAATGTGGGGGACATCCTGGAGTTCTGTTTTCATTCCCTAGAGCAGGCTGTGTCTGTCATGTGCCTGTCCATTGAAAACACTGCCTACAGGGCAATGTGAGCATTCTTCTGGTGTCTCCTGCAGATACTCACTGCTCACTGGATTGGTTTTGTGCTTGATTGAACAAGTGCCCTACCTTGTCTGCTGTTGCAATGTCAGACACTAATGTCTGATAACAGGAAAAACTACTTGGGTTTCGATTGAGAAGTCAAGTGCTTGCCTRCTGACCATTTGTCTCTTGTTTTCCTAGAACCTTTGCTTCATTTTGCCACAGTTTTTATACCAGTTCTTTTGTGGATTCTCACAGCAGGTAACTTCCAGTGATTTGTCTATAAAGTCAGAATAAAAAGCAGATGGCATAGTGAGGCTTCCTGGCAGAAATGTGGCTTTTGGCATCCCTGTCCCTTCACCACCCTGCTTTAGGGGACAGAAGGAACTGACCTTATTGCTGGGACATGATATTTGAGACCATAAGTAAAAAGAAAGCAATCTGCTTTCTTTCYTTTTCCATGCACCAGCCATACACACAGGTGGACACCTTCCTGAAGCAGTGGGAGAAGGGGTTAGCTGGTTTGTCAGTGCCTGATTTTGCTACTTCTGCTCCTCTTAAGAGAATGATATTTCCTGATCTTTTCTTCTCTGCTGCATTTTGCTGCATTAAAAGTGTCACTCAAAAGGAAGAATGGTTCATTCTTTTATGGCAGCTTTAAAAAAAGACACACAGTGAGTGTCATCAGAGCTTTGCTTATTCTTGTAAGCATCAGAGGGACAGATCCATGTGGTGAGTRGGTTCATGTGCTTGGAGAAAAGAGCTTTGGCTTTCGTGTCAACTCAAGGGCTTTTGTATCTGTTTGTGCTCAAAAGTTAACAGGAAGAGTAAATGATGAAAGATAATTCTCTGCTTGTTTTGGCAGAAACACTTGCCTTATTCTTTTGTTAAAGAGAAAGAAGCTATAGTTCCTCTAAAACAGTCTGGAGAGCCACAGGAGGCATCCAGTGTATTAACAGACACAGCAGCACAGGAGCAGCAACAGGAAAGCTGTGATGGGGCTGTTGAGTCGTGGTTTCTGGAGGGTAGGCTGGAGATGAGACCAGGCAGTTACCARATTTCCTGTCACTGGGAGGGGTTCCTGGCCACGCCACCCATGGGTGCTTTGTTCCCCCTGGGATCACACGGAGCACAGCCCCTGTCAGATGTGGCTGTGACAAAGGGATGAATCTGCAGGGTATGGAGAGACAAGGGCTGGGAATATATGCTTTCATTTCTTTGTGGTGAGGCTTTTAAAGTGGATTTTCAGTCTTTCTCATGTTACCCTTTCTCCCTCTTGCAAGCCACTGTACGATGCTGCTTACCTGACCATGTACAACATCTGCTTCACCTCGCTGCCCATCCTGGCCTACAGCCTCCTGGAGCAGCACATCAGCATTGACACGCTCACCTCGGACCCTCAGCTCTACATGTGAGTGCTCCTGGCAGGGTGAGCCCCTGCCCAGCTCTGCTAGCCATGGCTGCAGTTTGGGGGTGCAGGAATCCCTGTCCTGTGTCAGTGATGGGATCACCATCAACTGCAGAAAAAGCCATTTCTGTCCCTGCTGCCTCAGCTGTTTCTGCATTCAAGCTGAGCAGTTTTGTATTTCCTGCCTATTTCTGCGTGTTTATGSTGTCTGACAGTGTCTGGTGTGGCAAATTGCACTGCTGTATCTCCGTGAAAGAGTAAACTGGAGGTGGAATTCTTCATCYGTAAGAAAAATGGAGCTGTGAGCGTGGCCAGACCATTCATTCACGTTACCTTTGAGCCAGGCAGTGTGAGCCAAGCACGTGACAGAGCATGTAATGCAYGGAGGGGAAAAGATCCATTCATTCTGAGAAAGATGAATGTTCCTGAAGCCCAGCCCAGGCAGGCAGTTTCTCAGCTTGTCTGAATGGATATGGTCMCCCAGGCTTCCCCTGCACAGGCCAGGTTCCCCTATCAGAATGCAGGGGCTCTGCTCATCAATCACATGCTCAGATTTCTGCCACGTTGCCCAGGGAAAGGCCACTTTAGACTGACTCTCTCTGCTTTGCTCCTTGTTTTCTCTCCTTTGGTTGCAGCAGGGAGAGGCTGCAGTCTCCCCCAGAAGCAGAGWTGCTCTCCCTGTTCCTTCCAGCCCTGTCCACACACGTGTGCTCAGGGCAGCCCTTCAGCAGAGACTGAGGAAGGGATTTTTTGGAGGAAGCCCCTCTCAGTCCCTGCTGCTGATTCCCCAGCCTGGCAGCCACCTCAGCCCTGTGGAAAAGCCAGCACAGGGCTGCTTTGGCCCGTGCCCTGTGGTGTGATGCTTCTCTCTGGTGAGAGCTGTGTGTGGCATCGCTGAGCTCGAGCCAGGAGTGATGTCTGTGCACAGAGAGCAAAGGGAATTACAGTGCCTAAAATACTGGCTGAAAGTTGCATTAGGTATAGAAAAATCTGTGAATATAGTGAGAGCTGTAAGGCTGGGAAGGGGCTGGGTGGCTTTGAGGTAAACACTGAGAGAGGCATGATTGATTAGACCCGTGTTTCTTCACTCAGATGGCAAAATGCCAGCGTGTGTATTTTTAAATAGCTTGGTAATTGAATATTGTGCGACAGAGAGCAATAACAGCGGGCCCCTTTGCCTTCCCCTGGTGGGCTCTCTGATCTCTGGGGTCTGTGTGTTGGGGGAGCAGCCTTGGTTTGAATATTCATGAGTGTGCATGTGCTGCTGGATGCAGAGCCCCGCTGCGCTGCTGGAGGAAGTGCTGAGCTGCTGCAGTGCAGATCCTGACTCTGGAAACAGCCTGTTTACCAGAGCACTGCAGGACAGSCATGGCAATGCAAAACACAGCTCACTGGGAGGAAGCTGCTTCATTTTCTCTCCTTGCAATAGCCCACAGTTCCAGTCTGGTTTCTCYTTGCTCCTTTCTCACACCCAGACTGTGATATTTTGGAATGTGGTCACTGCATCATCGTGCACAGGATTCAATGGGCTCTGGCTTTAGGAACTGCAGTTGTAGGAGCCCAGCACCACACAGGTTTGCAAAGTGCATCATGCTGGAAATGGATGTATTGCTTTAAGAGTTAAGGAGAAYAATGCAAAAAATGTGGGGATTTGGGGTTCTAACATAAAAGTGCTTTTATCTCCTACCAGCCTTCAAATTTTAAAGAAATGAATCTGAAAAGATAASGATGCAGGGCACTGTTTTAACTCCCTCCTGCCCTGGCCCTGTGTGTGGTCCCTGCAGAGCTTTGCTCATAGCCCATCTATTTGCTGCTGCTGCTTCCATACCAGATCTCTTCCTATATTCAGCCAAGAGCCTCCTGCTACAACCCCTGTGATAAAAACACCCACCATACAATTCAGGAGGTTATTTTCAGCCTGTGCAGAAAAACAGCACTTCAGGGAACAGGACTTGCAGAGCTTTTCTCTGGAAAAAGGATTGTGCATTCAACAAAAAGAGGGAAGCACACCACGGATGTGATGCATCCCTTACAGCTGCTCTTTAACCTTACCCTGCTTTTAAATTTTAGCAGGTGATGTCAGACACCATGGGCAGTGCAGAGGCTGCTTGAGAGGCTCAGGACTGTGTTGTCTGTGTTCACTTTGGCCTTTTTTCATCCAAGGGTCCTAGAGAAGGATAAAACAATTCATGTGTTGAAGCTTTTGTGATCTGTGTTGATCAGCAGCTGCACATGGCAAGTGTTCTTTATGTCCAGGACACTGTTAGGTGTTTTTGTGGTTTGCCTCCTACAGCAAGGGCTCACCCCAAAGCCCAGCCATGCCCTGCCTGGGAGGAGCTTTGCAGAGCACCCTAAATGTGATTTTAATGATGTTCTTGTTCCTCCATCTCTTGGCAGGAAGGTTTCGGATAATGCAATGCTGCAGTGGAGGCCGTTCCTGTACTGGACCTTTCTGGGCGCCTTTGAAGGACTCGTGTTTTTCTTTGGGGTTTATTTTCTTTTTCAAAATTCCTCGTTGGAAGATAACGGAAAGGTAACGCCGCCAAAAAAAAAAAAAAAAAAGGAAGATGAGTGTTTGTTTTGTGCACTGCCTTCTGATACGCCTGGCAGGGAATATCTGCGTGCTTAATCTGTGCAGTGTGTCTCCAGTCCTGTCCAACAGTGTAGCCTTGCTTATGGTGTGATTCTGCAGCAAATGCTTGAAATAAAACCTTTTCCAGATCGCCATGGAAACAGGGTAGAGCTGGTTATGCTCACTAGGTAGAATGACTAGTCTCACACACAGCTCTGCCTGCCTGCTCGTGCCTCTGCTGGGGACAAGCGCTTGCATCGCTGCATGAGAGACCTGTGGAGGCTGCTTGGGTTAACCTGCACAGAGAGAGGAGGGGAAAAGATGCAGGGTTTTTCCTTTTTTWWAAWTTTTTTTCTTGTTTTGCTGGTTAACTGAGTAGAGAGCRAAGCATTAGTGCAGGGCAGCTTCCACACGTGGTGGTTTGAGCTGTTTAGGGAYCGTTTCCCCAAGCAATGTGTGCACTGTGTTATTAGATCTCAACTGATGGAAAACTTCTTTACACCATCGCTTGTGACTCTTGAAAATACCTGAACGTTTTTTTTGGAGAAAAGCTGATGAAATTTATGTATAAATTATATTCATACTTCGCATCAGTGCCAACATCTATGGCCCCAGCTGTATGCAGTCAAGCCCCTGTATTGTCAGATCAGTGCTTTTCTGTATTTATTGCCATTCTGGTTGTATTTGAATGAAACACGAAGCACTGGTATGTTCTGCAAATGCCTTCAGAGGTCAATTCTGTGTGGCACTACAATAAGATCTGTGGTTATGTCCTGTTCTGTAAACACTTATGCCTATAAGAACTGCTACCAGCAATTGTTCACAATATCCATGTATGTTTGATTGACTCCTTTTTCACTCCTGTTGACTTTAGTTTTTTTTGCATTTTTTGAAAACTTTTACATTTCACTTTCTGTTTTGATGTATGCATTCAGATCTTGACAGCCTTTGGTAAGCATCCCTCCCATTCATTGCCATCATTTGGATTTATATCCAGTATCTGCTTTTCTTTGTGTGCATAGTCACTAGTGTCCACAAACCAAACCAGCTGGAAAAGTCCCCMCTGGTGCATTCTGCAGATGGGACTGCAAAGAGACCATGAGTGTGGCCAGAAAGCAGAAACTGAGTAAATTGCCAAGAAATGCTGAAAATGCAGGTGGTGCAATGAGTTTGCTGTTCGTAGGAGGTGGTAGCTGTCACCAGCTCTGGGTCACCTGTGTGTGTGGCACTGCATGGCTCAGGGTGGCGTTGGGGCGGCGAGTTGTGCAGTCTGGAGCCTCTCCGAGCGTCCATCTCCCGTAGCATCGCTCCATCCCATCCCTCCCTCTGCTCCCTGCTTGCACCCCGTCCCTGTCCCYGTCTCTGTGCCTCTCCAGGACAAGGCCTGAGACTCCTGGGGCAATGGAATGTGTTTTTCAGGTGTTTGGGAACTGGACCTTTGGGACGATTGTTTTCACCGTGCTGGTGTTCACCGTCACTCTCAAGGTCAGCATCTCCCTTCCTTTTGTGGTAACTCATTGCAGATGTTTTCCAAGGCTCGTAAAACTGTGGAGTGAATGTGTAGAAGATGAAATGTCTGTGAATKTTTTCCACYACACTCAAATCTTCTCTTCTTCCAYAGAAGCAGAACCTGCTWATTGTCCTTTGTGTCGTCTGCAGCCTTTAGGTGTTTCGGTTAATTTTTTTCCTGGTTTTTCCCCTCTTTTGAGCACTCCAGCTGGTTATGGTTGACTTTTCCCCGTGCTTTCACCCCTTGATGTTCAGTTCCAGCAAGAGGAGAGGAGCAATAGAGAATTTGGATTTGTCCACCTTGTTTCAGACAATGCCCAGTGCCAGGGTGATCACAAAAGCACACGTGTCAAATAACAAGAGCAAATCTMCTTTGTTTCATGGAGCTTTCCAGAACAAACTGTTTGCATAAGGCCTTACAAAAGGTCTGTTGTGTTTGGTTCAGGTGGTGACAAGAGGCAATTACAGCCCCTGTAACCTTTRGATGTTTCTTTCCTGTAGCATCAAGGGTTGCATCAAATTTATTCCATTAAAAGGTGTCAGTTACAATTGGAATGGCACTGCTTCCCTGTTAACATTGGTGCAGACTGTGGATATTTAAAATGTTTGTCCTGGTGCCCATGTGCACAGAGGTAGCTGTTTGGAGAACCTGCAAATTAATGTGAAATTTTATATAAATACAATGAAAAGCACTCTGCATCTAAAGCCTGTTTTGTCTCTCTTTTTATTCCCACAGCTAGCATTRGACACCCGATTCTGGACGTGGATGAACCACTTTGTGATTTGGGGCTCCCTTGCTTTCTATGTGTTTTTCTCATTCTTCTGGGGAGGAGTCATTTGGCAAGTACCCTTTGTCCTTTCCTGGTGCTTTTTTAGGGCTCTGGCTGTGAGAGGGGGTGGCTGCAGCCTCTCCATTTGGGATATCCCAGGATTTGCTGTGAYAGGAGCATGGTYACCACSCCTTTTCTCTGCTGGATGAGAAGGRATKCCTCCATCCAAAGTGCTGGCAGAGGGTTGGTTCATAATGAGATGAGTTTGAGGAGCTCTCAGCCCAAAAGAGAGACCACCCTGGGCATCATCCAGGAGGGGCTTTGCATTTCTGCCCACAGGGTCATTTCTGCTGATGAGGCTCTGGTCTTTATTGGGAAGGTTCTCAAATAAACCCTTTATGGTCAGTTTGTGCATGTGGATGAGGGAGACAGGAAGAATTCATGGTGGAAGGAAACCCAGTGAAATGGAAGGAACAGATCAGGAAGATGCAGAGTGAGAGGACCTGGTGCTCTGGGACTGCTTAAAAGGGAAAAATAAATAGGAGAAAGCACAGGTCCTGGTGTTGAAATCATGGATCTGAGTAGAAGAATTTCTCATTGATTTGAGTACAACCAGGATTTTAGGTTTAATGTGTTGYAAAGGCCAGGTGAGCATTAGTCCATTACAAATATTACTGGTTTTGTATTTTCTGTGCTGGAAATGTTCAGTTGGTGTTCACAGGATGCAGCATCTCCCATTTTGCACCTCTGCTTTCCCATGGGCTGTTGGCTGGATCCCTGATCCAGTAAACTGCTAATAAAAATGTGGAACAGATTTCAATATTTTATTTGGGGGTCACCAGCTTTAACTCTTGAGTTGACTCTTGCTGGCCAACAGATCTGTAATCTAGCCACATCTCYATCCTGAAATGTGTGAGTTTCCTACTGAAAACTCTTTCTACTGTTTAAYTTGCATAGCTCAATATTTTTGACCTAACAATAAGCAAAAACTGCTTTGGGATCCTTGTCATCAGTTATTGATGAGGTGTTTTTCCACGAGCATCTGTTGGTTGCTCTCCCTCATCAAGGAAGGGAGGAAGGAACAAATAACCTGTTGTGAGTGAGAGATTCTGGATTTCCACTATCRAACCCAAACCAGAAGCTATAGCAAAGCCTGAAGTTGAAATAAAATWATCTGGTTTTTGATAAGGTGAATAATTTATCTTTCAGTGATGGTGACAAAATTCAAACCCCTTCCCACCCTGAAAAGAAACAGATGTKGAAGATGCAAAATGGATCGTGACAAACTTGCAGAAATAGTGCAGTTGGAGGCAGGAGATGGATTGGGAGAAGGATGGACAGTGTGTTTCTGTGCTGTACCCACCTCCATCTGAAAGGGAGGCATAACTGCTAACAGCTTGATCTGAAGTCTCCTTTGATTCTGACTTTCTTGGAAAATCCATGTTAACCAGAATTTATTTGTATCCTTTCTTTTGCAGGCCTTTCTTGAAGCAGCAAAGAATGTATTTTGTATTTGCTCATATGCTGACTTCTGTTTCCACATGGCTGGCAATAATTCTCCTGATCTTTATCAGCCTTTTCCCAGAAATTCTTCTAATAGTTTTAAAAAATATAAAAGAGAAAAATCATCAGGTAAGGACCAAGATGATGTGTACTCTGTATTCTTAGGAAGGCCTTTCTTACCCTCAAGCACCAGATGAACCTTTCTAGGAAGGCTTTCTAGGCTCTTCTCTTGCCCTTTCACATGCCAAAAATGTCTCGAGGTTATTTTAAAAATGCTGCCTGGGTCTGTAGAAGGAGACTCAGCCTGTGCCTTCCCTTGGTTGCCCTCCCTGGGTGGGAATGTGCTGTCCCAGAGAAGAGTGTGGCCCTTGTGTGAGCTCATCAAACAGACCATAATCCTGAMCAAACCTGCTTGTTTTCATGGCAAAAAACACGAGCAGGGTGTTCCCCTTGGCYGTGTCCTCAGCTGCAGTGGGAGCAGGGTCAGCTCTTGTCACATTTGCCTGTCCTCCACAAATAACCCAAGGCTC